CCTCTCTTTTCTCTTTAAGCCTAGTGGGATAGCAGAACTGACCAATCCTCCTGTTAGGGTTCCATACACCTCACTGCATACTGCCACAAGGGTTTACGTTATTAGCAAGCTGTTCAATCACCCGGGGAGCTACAGCCCCATAGTCCCACCTAATCATTTGGAGGAAGTACAAGACTATGGCTCAAAAGTGACCCATTGATGGACACTGGGAGGAGGTAACTATGGGGAGGAAGTGGGAGGGGAGCTGCTGCATTGTAAATTTTGGTCAATGACATGAGACAAAGTATATGTGAACTGCTGTATGAAAAGTGAATTTACTCTGTAAATCTTCACCCAAATCCTAAAAAAAAAAAAAAAAAAAAAAGTGACCCATTGCACCACAGCTTCCAAGCCACAGTGCAGCTTCTGTCTGTTGTATAGGCTCCTCATGGGGTGCACATCTTGACAGACGGGAGAGGAGAGAAAAAGACCAACTCCTCCTTATGGAACCCTGTGCTCTGGGGCAAATAGGAGAGACAGGGCGAGGTTTTCTGGAAGGCTCACCACTGTAGTCCCCAGGAGTGCACAGGACTTGATTCTGTAAGCAGTGTGGCAGTCTGGACATGCCATGGAACTTTGTTCATTCAAACATAGTTGAGCACCTGCTATGTGCTAGCTTGCTTGCTTAGGCAACAGTGACGGAGAGCCCTTTCGTAAGCAGACAGGGCACAGATAACTGAAATACAGTGTGGTATATAGGCTGATGCAGAAATGACAAAAAATTGTAACACAGCAGAGAGGGAAAAGCCTTTGCTGAAAGTGACTGTGGAGCTGAGTCTTGAATGTTGGAGACTGGCAATTTCAAAAGGAAATAAAGCTTAGAAATGTAATAGTTGTGATGATAGCTACGTTTGTTTTTTTCCCTTTGAGGTTAATACTGTGGGCTCTAGTCCTGGCTCCATCACTTACTGTGATCTTAGGCAAATAATCTCAGTTGCTATACCTCAGTTTCCTCATCTGCAAAATGGAGATAATAGTACCTACCTCACAGGGTTGTGCGAGTAAATGTTAATAATTGTTACCATTAAGCACTTACATTTTCTAATCCTGACAACAACCTGTAAGTAGGCTTTTCCATTCTGCAGGTGAGTAACATGAAGCCCAAGTCACTCATGCTCACACAGATTAAAGGCTGGTTTAGGGACTTGAACCCGTATCTGTCTGGCATCTTATTTCATGGCCTCCCTACTATTCCAGGTCTAGTGAGGCAGGAACACTGGACGTAGGTGGAATGAGGGCATAATGTGAAGAAGACATGTTTTTTGATTCATCTCTGGTTGGTCTGGTTGATCCTGTTGGTTGGGGATGTGGAGGCTATCTTGGTTGACCTGCCTGACATAAAATTTAGCTCTTCATAGAAGTATGGCTGTGAGTTTTACTAAGAGACCACTCACAAAATCCCTCATGAATATATTCCCCATAGGGCAGGTAGAAAAACAGAAGCAGGAATTTAACATTGAAATTCCTGCAACTCAATAACGAAAAGATAAACAAGCCAGTAAAAAGGGGTGGTGTGGGGCACAAACCCTTCAAAGAAAATATATGAATGGCCAGTAAAAACCTCAAAACCAAACTCACTGCCATTTAGTCCATTCTGACTCATAGCGACCCCCATTTGGTTTCCAGGGCTGTAAATCTTCACGGAAGTGGGAGCAAAATGCCCTATTATTATTATATTATTATTATTATTTGTGGAGTGGCTGGTGGGTTCAAACCACTAAGCACATGAAAAGACTTCATTAAAAAAACAACTCATGGCCATGGAGTCGGACCAAATTCATAGTCACCCCTCCTTGGGTTTCCCAGGCCGTATCATTATGGAAGTAGATTGCCCAACCTACCTTCTGAGGATTGGCTGGTGGGTTTGAACCCCCAGCCTTCTGGTAAGCAGACATATGTCTTAGGCACTATGCTACCAGAGTTCCTACATCATTAGGCACCAGGGAAATGCAAATTAAAAGCACAATGAGATAACCACTACATACACGTGTTAGGTGCCTTGGAGCCGCTCTGACCCATGGTTCCCCGCGCGTAACACACACGAGTTAGGTGCCGTGGAGCCGCTCTGACCCATGGTTACCTGTGTAATGACGTGAATGTTGCCGCCTCCTGCACCATCCCCACCCCCGCTGTCCTCTTTGAGCCCATTGTTGCAGCCAGTGTGTCCATTCATCTTGTTGAGGGTCTCTTTGTCGCTGACCCTCTACGAAGAATGATGTCTTTCTCCAGCAATTGACAAAAAGACCAAAAAGTTTAAATCACCAAATATAGATGAAGATGGGGAGCAACAGGAACTCTTTTTTTTTTTTTTTTAATTTTTATTGTGATTTGGGTGAAACTTTACAGGGCAAATTTATTTTGCATACAGCAGTGCGTACATTTTGTTTTCATGACATTGACTGCAATTTCCCACAATGTAACAGCTGTCTTCCTACTTCCTCCCCATAGTTAACTCTTCCCTGTGTTCTTCTTTCCTATACAATCCCGCCCTCTGAGCTATCTCTCTGTGCAAATACTGCCCATCTGTTCTCCCAGGATTGATTGTCCTAAGGGGTGTTCCATCTGATGTAAAGGTGCCCTCTATGCCTGTCTATTGTTTGGCTGGAAGCCATGGGAATGAGTTCAATTCCAGGCTTGAAGAGTAACTAGGGGCCGTAGTCTTGGGGGTCTCATCAGGCTCTGTCAGACCAGTAAACCTAGTCTTTTTTTTTTTTTTTTTTTTTTTTTTTTTTTTTTTTTTTTTTTTTTTTTATGATTTTGAGTTTTGTTTCACATTGTTCTCCCATTCTATCCAGGATCTCCAGCACTGATACCTGATCCCTTCCTGAGTAGTTGATAGTGGTAGCCGGGCACCATCTAGTTCTTCTGGTCTCATTGTCATATTGGCTGAGGTTCACATAGTCCACTAGTCCCTTGGAGTAATTGTTTCCATGAGTCTTTGGTTTTCTTCATTCTTCTTTGTTCTGGGCAAGGAGAGACCTATTGTTGCCTCTAGATAACAGTGTTTCTGTGTAGTATGTTATGCCAATTGAGTTTGATGTCCCCTACGACCATCGTCCCAAGCCCATAGATCCAACAGCTTGCTCTGTCAGGGTGGTTGACTCTGCCTAAGAAGTATCATAACTTTTCTCCCTGTTCTGTTTACATGGACATTCTTTCAGCACAAACACATACGTATGTAAAAACAACATCTGCCAGCCTTATATCTGGTCATGGGTATATTCTTTTTTGCCTAGACATACCTGATCACTCAGCTTGTCCACCCAGCTATTTACCTGTAGATTAATGTTAGTTATCACTGATAACAGTTATTGTATATGTAAAAGTGTTTATCTTTGTTGTCTGTTCCTCTTGTGGTGGGAGTGTAAAATGATACAAACATTTTGAAGAAAGGTCTGGCGATTTCTTATAAATTTAAACATACACCTGCTCTTCAACACAGCAATTCTGCTCCTAAATAGTTACTGGAGAGAAATTAAAAACACATGTCTACAAAGTAACTTATTCGGCAGTCTTGTTGATAATGACCCAAATCTTGAAAGTGCTAGCCTGTCTGCAACAGGAGAATGGAAGAACTGTGTGTCCACACCATGTATTCAGCAATAAAAAGAACTGGTTATACACGCAAGAACATAGATGGTCTTCTAAAATATGCTGCAAGTGAAAGCCTTACACAGAAAGTGTGCACATACACAGAAAACCCTCACTGCTGTCAAGTCAATTTGACTCATAGTAACCTCTCCTTGGGTTTCCAAGGAGGTATCTCTACAAAGTACATTGCCCACTCTTCCTTCTTCAGAGTGGCTAGTGGGTTTGAACTGCTAGCCTTTTGGTTAGCAGTCAGATGCCTTAGGCAGTTGCCACCAGTGCTCTCCAAAAGTGTACAGACAATACACTTTCATTCATTTGTAGAATATGCTAAATGAATTGAAGGTAGGTAAAGATCAGAACAGTGGTTGCCTCTGGAAGGTGGGGTGGTGGTTGTTATGTGCCCACCAGTTGCACCTGACTCATAGTGACCCCTCCTTGGGTTTCTGAGACAGATTACCATGGAAGTAGATTGCTCAACCTTCCGAGGAGTGGCTGGTGGGTTTGCACTGCCAGCCTTTTGGTTAGCAGTCAAACGTGGTAGGCACCACCCTACCAGAGCTCCTGGAAGGTGGGGTAGTGGCAGGAATTGACTGGGAAGAATCATTAGAGAACTTTCTGGGGTTTTAGTAATGCTCTATATCTTGATAGAGGAGTCCTGGTGCAGCAGTGATTAGGTGCTTGGCTGCTAAAGGTTGGCAGTTCGAACCTACCAGCCACTCTGCAGGAGAAAGATGGGGCAGTCTGCTTGTGTAAAGATTACAGCCTTGGGAACCTTCTGGGGCAGTTCTACTCTGTCTTATAGGATCGCTGAGTCAAAATGGTCTCCATGGTGATTTTTTGTTGTTGTTGGTATCTAGACAGGTGTGAGTTACCCAGGTGTATGCATTTGTCAAACTTAAGTGAATGTACACCCGAAATTTGTATATTTCATTGTATGTAAATTTTATATCAAAAGAAAAATGTAAACAAATATTGCACTCTATTGGTATGCATGCTTAAGTTTTTAGGGGGAATTGTACTAATATCTGCAATTTACTTTGAAATGCATCAAAATAAAAAATAGAGTCACGGTTGTATAGGCGAATATGTGATAAAGCAAGTATAGTAAAACGTTAATGGTGGAATCTAGGTGGTGGGGACACAGGTGTTTGCTGTATTGTTTGAAAATGTTCATAATAAAAGGGCCAGTGATTTGGGGATTTTGCAGGAAAACCCTGCCACTAGTGCTTAGGACCGAGTAAATGGAGATACTAGGAGTAGCGGGAGCCACGAACCGGCGTGGGACCTACCAAAGTTAAAGACAACCTCTGTTTCCCAACTATCAAACGAGTATAACCCCAGCATCCGGGTGTCCGGGACGGCCACGGAAGCTGCTTATCAACCGCTCTTCTGATTGGACGCTGGTCTTTCGTTGGGGCGGGCGCTGCTGGGACTCGGAAGCAGCGGCAGGCATGGCGGCGGCGGTGCGGCTGTCTATGCTGGTGCTGCTGCTCCTGCTCCTGGGGCCAGGCGGCTGGGGCCGTGCACGGCCTCCACGCGATAGCCTGCGGGAGGAGCTCGTCATCACCCCTCTGCCTTCTGGTGACGTAGCTGCCACATTCCAGTTCCGCACGCGCTGGGACTCGGAGCTGCAGCGGGAAGGAGGTGAGAGGGCGTTATCTGATCCGAGAAAGCTTTCCGTGGCACCTGCTGGGGGTGAGGTGGGCTCAGGTCCTGGGGGCGGGGCCTGACCCCGGGCGAGATTGCGGTTCCTGGGCGTGGGCCCGAACAGCTGGGTCATTGAGGAGGGGTAGGGTGGTTAGTGAGGAACCGCACTGTGCCGACGGTGAAACTGAGGCCCGGGGTGGGGTGGGGTGGGCAATGACTTCTGACCCCGGCTCCAGTGCTGTTTCTGCCGCTCCAGGCTACAGTCTTTAGCTCTCTGCTGGCAGTAATGCTGCTGCTGCTACTGCGCTTGACAGTTACCATGCATCCTGGGTGCTACGTACAGTTCTTAGTGTGGGCGACCAGAAGAAAGAAATTGGGTGTGGGGAGGTAAGGGGGCTTGCTCAAGATCGCATTGCTAGTACGTGACAGTCTGGTCTGGAATCCAGATCTCTCTGACCCAGGTTCTGGGTTCTGCGGCTACTTGGGGGTGACCCCAGGCCCTGCCTCCAGGATCTTCACCCACCTGCTTCCCCTCCCCCAGCATCTCACTACAGGCTCTTCCCTAAAGCCCTGGGGCACCTGATCTCCAAGTATTCTCTTCGGGAGCTCCACCTGTCACTCACACAAGGCTTCTGGAGGACCCGATACTGGGGCCCGCCCTTCCTGCAGGCCCCATCAGGTGCAGAGCTCTGGGTCTGGTTCCAGGACACTGTCACGGAGTGAGTACCCATCTTGGGTCCTGTTGCCCATGGCAGGGAAGGTGTCCTCCTGCCACTGCCGGTAGGGACAGCAGTTCCAGCAGGGAGCAGTTCCATGGCTGGTGTTGGAAGTGGGAACCGGGATTACCACTGAGTGGTATTCTCTGCTGAGTATGTGTCCTTCCGCTACTGCTTGTAGGTGGGAGATGCCACATGCACATCCCTACGGAGGCAGACAAAACAAGATTGCATCTCGCTCGGTGTACCCACAAAAAAACCAAACCCCTGCCATCGAGTCAGTTCTAACAGCAACCCTGTAGGACAGAGTAGAACTGCCCCATAGAGTTTCCAAGGCTGTAACTCTTTATGGAAGCAGACTGCCTCATCTTTCTCCCATGGAGCAGCTCACGGGTTCAAATCACTGATCTTTTGGTTAGCAGCCCAGTGCTTTAAGCATTGCACCACCAGAGCTCCTTACTTGGATATGAGGCAGTAGAAAACTGGGAAACTGGACACCTTTTTAAAAGACATTCACATTTTGTTATACAAAAACCAAACTCACGGCCATTGTGTCAGATCCAACTTACAGCAACCCCTCCTTAGGTTTCCAAGGCGATATCACTACGGGAGTAGATTGCCCAACCTTCCTTCAGAGGAGTGGCTGGTGGGTTTGAACTGCCAGCCTTCTGGTTAGCAGTCAAATGCCTTAGGCACTATGCCACCAGAGCTCCTACAATTTCTTTATAACAATACCCTGAGAGCCAGGTGCAACACATCTGTGGACTAGAGTTGGCCTTCAGGCTGCTAGCTCATGATTCCTGTCATGGAGGAATGGATCTAGTTACTGCTGTTGTGCCACAGAAACTATTGCTCAATGGCTGTTGTGCTTCTCCTACTTAGAGTAGAACTTCTCAAAGCCAGAAAGGGTTATGAACTCATGTCCACCAGGGCCAGACAGGTAACATCAGTGAATAAAGGAGTAAACGTTTTCATAGAGACACAGGAACAAGCAATGTGTCTTACCTCCCTCTCATTCCCACTGTAAGAAATCAACAACGCAAGTATGATAGAAAACAGTTTGGGGCGATAATAGGAAGTGGTGGGGACTGTGGCAGGCTAGAGAGTTTGTACCAATCTGGAGGGCAGCTGCTGGTAAGTGCCCATGGATTGTTGCCACATAGGAATGGAGGGCCATTGTTGTGAGATACTCTCATTTTCCAAGAGAGACCAGAAATCTGAATTTTAGTGTGAAAACTGGTGAGTTTATGTATCAAGAAGTCATTTACAGTGTTAAGAAATGCTATGTGAGCCAGTGTTGTCCAAGACAAATGAAACATGGTTGTGGTTTGGGGAGAGCTTTGAGGTTCATGTTCGCAGGCTTTGTTTGAGGCCTAAGGATTGGAGCAGGTGGAGAGCTGTGAGCAGTGATCATCAGAAAATCTCAGGACAGAGCCAAGGGGACTCCAGATGAGGAGCAGCAGTGACGCCGAACTTGTCCCAGCGTGCTTCTTGCCTTTTCTCTGTCAGCCCTGCTATCTCTGTCCCCCCTCATCTCGTAATTGCCTGTAATTCAGAGCTGTTGTTCAGAATTCTAGTGCTTGTTAAATTTCACACATTCTGTTATTGATATGAAGCCCTTGGGTGGCACAAAGGGTGTGCGCTTTCTACCATGCCAGCGATGGGTGGCTCAGACCCACCCAGAGCCCTATGGAAGAAGAGCCTGTCAATCTGCTTCCGTAAGAATTACAACCAGGAAAACCATAGGGAGCTCGGGTCTACCCTACAGCACATGGGTTGCCATGAGTTGGAATCGACTCAGTGGCAACAGGTTTTATTAATACAGAGAACCAGTCGGTTTTGATGTGTGTCTTGAGAAAAGAACTCATTTAATTTGATGTTTCTGTGGGGTCCCAGAGTGGTGGTGGTGGTTGTTGTGATGTGCCGTCGAGTTGGACCCGACTCGTAGCGACCCCTCCTTGGGTTTCCGAGGTGTTATCGCTACGGAAGCAGATTGCCCAACCTTCCTTCCAAGGAGTGGTTTTTCTCTTACTCCATGAGCCTTGCAGATAAGACTTCCCACCCTGAGAGGAGAAACAGGACTCCATTCACGTCCAGGGTTTTGCAGGGAGAGTGGGGTTTAGCCCTGCTGAACAGACCGCAGGTCAGGTCAGTGAGCGGGTCTGCATGGCCCTCTGGGGTGTGGGGCACTTGGAACGGTGTTGTGGGCGATACATAAATGTCCACGTCTTACTCCTTGTCCTAAAGTTGCTCTTGGCCTAGTCAGGGAGAAAGGGTCTGTAGGACCAGATGCTGGCGCCACCTCGCAGTCTCAGGGGCCTGTTGAGGGGCTGGGCGCTCAGAACCTTGGCAGCACAGAGAGGCTGGGGTTGAGGGGCAGCGAGGGGTGAAGGGGATTCCAGGCAGGAGACCTTGTCTGAGCAGGCGCTCGCGGATGTCCGCAGGAGCGGGAAGGGCCGGGAAGGCTGGCCTTTTGCGTGGTTCAGGGCCCAGCTTGCTCCTCCTGTGAGCTCAGCCGGGGGGGCGGGGCGCAGAGGCAGCGGTGGGGCAGCGTGTGGGTTTATGTCTCCATCCAGCGTGGACCAATCCTGGAAGGAGCTCAGCAACGTCCTCTCGGGCATCTTCTGTGCCTCTCTCAATTTCATCGACTCCTCCAACACCGTCACTCCCACGGCCTCCTTCAAACCCCTCGGGCTGACCAATGGTGAGAGCTCCCTGCAGCCCTCTCCTCTTCCTGCCCTTTGCCTCCTCCCTCCTCAGCTTCCTCCCTCCCTCGGGCCGAATCATAGGTCCCCCAGCTGTGTGGGTCCCAGAAGGCTCCCGAGGCTCTGTTCTCTCTTCATTGCCTTCTCCCCGGGGAGGGGGGCCCATCCCTGGTTGGACTGTTCGGGCTGTGTTGGGGGCGGGAGGGGTCGGCTGCACCCCTGGCCACCTCCACCTCCCGCAGGCTCGGATCACCGCTTCCTGCGCTATGCTGTGTTGCCGCGGGAGGTGGTCTGCACTGAGAACCTCACCCCGTGGAAGAAGCTCCTGTCCTGTAGCTCCAAGGTGAGGTGGGTACGGTCTGACTGTGGGTGGGAGCCCCAGAGAGTACGGGGAGTTGGCCGCTGCCCCTTCACTGTCTGCCAGACGGGGCTTTTAGAGACACCCTCTGGCCTGGACCCAGGTGTGCTGTGCAGAGCACTGAATGGCCATCTCCTCCCGCCGCCTCCAGGCAGGCCTCTCTGTGCTGCTCAAGGCTGACCGCCTGTTCCACACCAGCTACCACTCCCAGGCAGTGCATATCCGTCCTATTTGCAGAGTAAGTCTTGGGGGTTGGGGTGGGGGGCTGCCACTCAGGACCCTAAAGGAAGGTGCAGGTCAAGCACATGGCCCAGTGTCTGGTGTGGGTGGAGTGAGTGGTAAGTGGCTGATTATTTGGGGCACTGGCCACACACCAAGGAGACTGAGTGGTTGCCTGGCGAGTGCCAGTGGATGTTTGTCACAGAGCACAGCAGTGAGTGGGTGCAAGTGCTAGCTCGGTCACTCTCCTGCTGAGTGACCGTGAGCGGTCATTTAATTTCCCTGAGCCTTGGCTTCCTCATCTGTCAGGTGAGTAATAGTACTGGCTTCCTAAGGTTGTGTGATGGGTCACTGAATTGTGCACGTCAGGCTGTCGGTATGGGATCTGCTCGGGGAAAGTGCTCGAGAGTGAATGGTAGCAAGTGGATGGGTGGGAAGATACATGACAGACCAGGGATTGAGTCTCCACGTAGGTGTCCATGAAGCATGTGTGCGTCACGCCCACCCCCTGCTACCTGTCGCCGTGTGTTAGGATGCACGCTGTACCAGTGTCTCCTGGGAGCTGAGGCAGACGCTGTCGGTTGTATTTGACGCCTTCACCACTGGGCAGGGCAAGAAAGGTAAGCTGCCTTGGTGTCTCCTCTCTCCCCATCCACCCCTAGCCCTGCCCTGCCTTTGGGGACCAGCCCTTATCAACCCGTTCTCTGCTCCTCAGACTGGTCCCTTTTCCGGATGTTCTCCCGAACCCTCACAGAGCCCTGTCCCCTCGCTTCAGAGAGCCGAGTCTATGTGGACGTCACCAACTACCGCCAGGTACCAAAGGTCTGCAGCCAGCCGCCCCTTCCATGGGCCGGCCTGCGCTTCTGCCCACCTGTCAGCCCTGCCCGTGTTTCCCCAGGACAATGGGACGCTGGAAGTGAGCCCGGCCCCCACCACCACATACCAGGACACTGTCTTAGGCACCCGGAAGACCTACGCTGTCTATGACTTGCTTGACCCGGCCCTAATCACCAACTCTCGCAATCTGAACCTCCAGCTCAAGTGGAAGAGATTCCCAGAGAATGGTGAGCGGGTGCACGGCCACCGGGGCCACCAGGGGCTACATACAGAAGGCAGTGAACAGGGTTGTGGTTACTCCTGGATCCCTGAGTCACAGGCTGCTGGTTCTCAGTGCTCCTTGTCCAGGTTCGACGACTTGGCAGATCCCTAGCCCCTGTGAGGTTAGTGGGGCCAGTGACGCCAGGTGGGTTGGGTGAGAGAATGACTATAAAGCAGGCTTCGCTCCTGCATTCCTCCATCCACACGGGTTTTTCCGAATCCGTACCGTGTGCCCGGCTGCCAGGCGTAGGATGGTGGGTAAGACAGAGGAGCACTCTTTAGCCGAGAGCCGTGCCTCCTGGTGGAGGTGGGCACCAAGCACTAGGTTAGTGCACCCTGCTGTGCCGAGCACTGCTGAGGAAAGTGCAGAACGCCACCAGGGCGTCGGCGCAGGTCCGGAGGGGCACGTGCTCGCCCAGCACGGGAGAAGTGCTCAGCAGATGGTAGTTGCAATATTCCCAGCCTTGCTTGTGAATTGGCAAAGACCAGGAAAAGCCCGGTTCTCAGTTCTGATGGCCCGCTTTCACCAATCTCCTCCCTGGCTTTGGGATGTTGACCAGGGTCTGGGGAATGAGGAGTGACCTTTCTTTTGTTGTTGTTGAGTCAATTCTGACTCATTGGAACCCCATGCGACAAATTAGAACTGGCCCGTAGGGCTTCCTAGGCTGTAGTCTTTAGGGGGTTACTGAGTCTCCCTCCCATGGAGCCATGGGGTGGGTTTGAACTGCCAGCCGGTCAGTTAGCAGCTGAGCACATAACTGTTGCGCTGCCAGGGCTCCTCGCCTTTCCTTTAGCAGTTGTTGACGGTTGGCTCTCCTCCCCGCAGAGGCCCCGCCGGCGCCCTTCCTGCACGCCCAGCGCTATGTCAGCGGCTACGGGCTGCAGAAGGGGGAGCTGAGCACGCTGCTGTACAACACGCACCCGTACCGGGCCTTCCCCGTGCTGCTGCTGGACACCGTGCCCTGGTTCCTGCGGCTGTACGTGCACACCCTCACCATCACCTCCAAGGGCAAGGAGAACAAACCAAGTGAGCAGCAGCCACCCCCCTTCTCAGGCTCCTGATGTGCATGAAGAGTTAGGGACGGTTTGGAAAATGGAAAGGATGACCTCACTGTGTCCGATCTGGAAACTAGATAACAATGAAACCATGTCACGGTGGTGGGGCGTACTAGGGCTTTACTAGGGCTGTGTGATGCTGGGACTTCCTTTCCACTAAGTTGCTGCCTCTTCCTGGATCTTCAGGCACATCCTTTTGTCTTGAGATGATTCACAGTCGCCTTAGGGTAGGGAAAAGGTTGGCAAGATAGACTGGAAGCAAAGGAGAGCAGTGTGGGGTCAATGGTTTTGCTTCCTTGAAAGAGGTGGAGAGGGGCAGCTTTTCCTTTTGAAGCAGGAGTTCGTGTTGACTGAGTGCTTCCACACAGGGGCCAGGTCCAGTAGTAAAACACTTTTTCTTTTGGGGGTGTGTGTGTGGGGGGGTTGTCTAATAAAGAGACTTTAGCAAGAGGGTGCATCACATCCGAGCAGCCACACTTAGACATCTGTGAACACCTCTCTGGTTTCCAGTGTGCTCAAGCCTGTGGTGAACAGTGTCATTTGTTCCCAGTACCACGGTTTGTGCCAGCTTCAAGTTCTCTGCTTCATATGTCCTACCTGTGTGTTCTATAGAGTTTTGGTTTTGGTTTGGTATTTTACCTTTTAAACATAAGGCGTTCTGGTGGTGTAGTGGTTAATGCATTTGGTTCTTAACCAAAAAATCTGTGGTTCGAAGCCACCAGCTGCTCTGCAGAAGAAAGATGAGGCAGTCTGCTTCCATAAAGAGTGATAGTCCTAGGGACCCAGTGGGGTGCTGTGAGTCAGGTCAGCTCCATGGGAGGGGGTTTGTAAATACGTACCCTAACAGAAACCATCATCTCCATCATGAGCCCGTCACCTTTCCCTTCTCTGACGTTCATCTCTCCCCCAGTCACTTTTTGTTTATTTTTCTGTGAGAGTATTTTGTTTTATTAGTTTTTTTTTCATTTCTAATTTCATTTTATTGTTGTTGTTGTTGAGAACACACACAGCATAACATGCACCAATTCACCAGTTTTCTCCAGGAGTATTTTAAAGTAAATCCCAGATGGTGTATCTGTTCCCCTTCATTTACTTCAGTAACTGCTCGCCAACACAGGCAAGGACTTGGAAGGATGGAATCCTGCCATTGTCGCTCCTGTCCTCCCCAGGGGCCTTAAAAATAACCTTTCACCGTTGATTAGCTTGAATTGGGATCTAACCAAGATCCTCACGTCACATTTGCTTGATGAGTCTGATAAGTCTCTTTCACTCTGTAATGGTGCCCACTTTTTGTTTTTTTAAAATGCCATTTATTTGTTGAAAAAGCTGGGTGATGTGTTGCCCCAAATCTTCTACAATCGGGGTTTGTCCTCAGGCCGGTGTTGAGTGTGTTCCTCATCCCCTCTACTTCTTGTATGTTGGTGGTTAGATTTAGAAACTTGATTAGTTCAGGTCCCCAGGAAGCTTCCCAGTGGTTCTCTGCACTTGCAGTTGTCGCTGGCCTCTGCTGGTTGGTGGCCCAGCTGTGGCAGTGGGTGGGTTGGTGAGAGGTGAGGGGCATGCTCGATAAGGGGCATGCTTGATGAGGGGCCTGCTCGATAACATCTTCGCCTGGAAGCATCCTCTTGCTTCCCGAGCCTGCTGACTCCTGTAGTGCAGCCTTCCAGGCCTCCAGCTGCCAGCCCCAAGGCAAATGGCAGAGACAGGAGACGTGGGCAGTCTGACCCCAAGAAGAAGGTGTGGTGACCCTTGTCTGTGTCTCAGGTTACATCCACTACCAGCCAGCCCAGGACCGGCTGCAGCCCCACCTCCTAGAGATGCTGCTGCAGCTGCCCGCCAGCTCCGTCACCAAGGTCTCCATCCAGTTTGAGCGGGCGCTGCTCAAGTGGACCGAGTACACCCCTGACCCCAACCACGGCTTCTATGTCAGGTGTGCCCCTCCCCCACAGCCCGCCGCCTCCCTCCTGGCCACCTCTCCCCTCACCCTTTGGTGGAGAGGCCGGTGAGAAACCCAGGCCAAATGTCTGCTTCTCTGTAGCCCATCAGTCCTCAGCGCCCTTGTGCCCAGCATGGTGACAGCCAGCCCAGTGGACTGGGAAGAGAGCCCCCTCTTCAACAGCCTGTAAGTGTGACCGTGCCTTCATAGGCTAGAATCCCCGATGGTGTGAATATTTAATGCAGTGTCCTGCCAGCTGAAGGGTTGCAGGGTCAAGGGTCCAGTACCCAGAGGCATCTTGGAGGCAAGGCTGAAAAATCAGCCATTGAAAGCCCTGCGGAGCCCAGTGCCGCTCCGATCCACACGAGGCTGCCATGGGTCGGCGCTGACTGCACGGCAGCTGGCGTTCTGGTGGTGCCTCCTCAGCCGCCTGCCTTGGGCTGGATGTTAACACAGGAGCAGGGTCCTGCAGGGTGCCTTCCTCTTCCAAAGTCATGTGTAGACATAACTCGGTGCCAGTAAACGTTCTAGTAACTTGTGATATGTCCAAAGGCTTCCTACGGTGATTCTGAAGTCCATCTAGGACGGTAAGCAGGTAGGAATAGCAACACCTACAGCTTGGGTTTCTTCATTGAGTCTCTCAATAGATGTTTCATTGAGCCTCCATCATATGCCAGATCCTTCAGTCAGCGCCGGGGCACAGCCGTCAGCCAGGCAGCCTTGCCCCTGCCGCCCTCATGCTGACGGTTTAGAGGGGAGATGCTGTACCAGAGAACGTGGGGTGGAGGCAGGGAGCATAGTAGATGACCCAGGCAGGCTGCTTTGAAGAGGTGTGTTTAGGCTGAGACCAGAGGCAAGAAAGGAAGAGGCTGCCGAGTGAAGGCCGGGCCCCAGTCCTCCACTTCAGCCACGGCTGCTCTCCTGTCGGGTTCATGCACGGGGCTTTCCTATGAGTCATCTCCTATTCGAAAGGGAAGGTCGCTGGGTGGTGCAAGCAGTTTGCACTTGGCTGCTGACCAAAAAGCTTGGCAGTCTGCATCCCCCCAGTGGTACCATGGACAAAAGTCCCGGTGGTCAGTTTCGGTCAGATCACAGCCCCTGAAAACTCGCAGGAGCAGAGTTCTGCTCGGAAACACGTGGGGTTGCCGTGAGTTGGAAGCAACCTTACGACAGCAGGTTTGGGTTGAAAAAGTTCTGAGACTAAGAAAACTCAGGAGCCCCTTTTCAGGGTGCGTTGGCCCGGCGCAGCCCAGGCACGGGGCGGGGTGCGGTGGGGAGCGACGGCCCGTTCGTGCCTCATCACTCCTGCCCTGACCCCACCCAGGTTCCCCGTCTCCAACGACTCCAGTTTCTTTCTGCGACTCTACACGGAGCCGTTGCTGGTGAGCCTGCCGACGCCGGACTTCAGCATGCCCTACAACGTCATCTGCCTCACGTGCACTGTGGTGGCCGTGTGCTACGGCTCCTTCTACAACCTCCTCACCCGGACCTTCCACATCGAGGAGCCCAGCAAGGGCGGCCTGGCCAAGCGGCTGGCCAACCTCATCCGGCGGGCCCGGGGCGTCCCCCCGCTCTGAGACACACCTTCTCTGGGTGCTGTTTCTCTCTTTGGCGGGTGGGGTGGTGATACCGGGGACTCTGTCTGCCACCTGCTCAGACCCCAGAGGTGGCTTTTGAGCCAGGCCACCCTCGGAGCAGCCAGGGCCCAGAGCTGTGCTGTCCGGTACAGGCGCTACTAGCTGCAAGTAGCTGTTTGAATTCACGTTAATTTAAAGTGAAGACTGATTTCCTCAGCCGCACCAGCCACATTTGAAATGCTCTGCAGCCCGGAGCGGTTGGTGGCTACCGTACTGAACACAGAAAACGTTCCCGTCAGCGCGGAGGGTTCTGTTGGATGTGCGTGCTGGCCCAGAGACGGGTGTGCTGGAGAGATGTCCCCGTGCGGTGAATGGAACTTCCCATCGGGAATAAAAAGTGGCTGATGCTTTGGTCTTTGCCTGCTGCCCTCGAGACCTGGGAACAGGCTTGTGCCGGGTGTCTGAGCAGAAAAACATCCCCCAGGAAAGAAGCCCTCCCCCCATCCCTGCCAGAATTTCCTCTCCATTCCCCCCATGCCCCCCGTCCTCTGACTGTATCCCCAGGCGCCCTGGGTTTGGGGACAAAGCCGCCTCAGTTTTCTGGAAGCATAGCCCATGACCATGAGAGTGACTCACCCCCTGTCCTTTGTGGCCCTGACACCCGGTCCCCCATCGCCCTGGACCGGAGCTGGAGAGGCAGAGAGAGCCCTGTGTGGTGGCCCTTAAGCTGATGTGCCCTTGTGGAGAGAGTGCGATTTCCGGGGACCGCACTGAAGTGGTCTGGGGTATAGACTGAACTACTCGGGCTCCTCAGGGGCCACCCACAGGCTTTGAAGGCAGGGCTATTAGATTAGTCGTGCCCTCCCCGCCTCTCCCTCTTGTCACCGACCTCCCGACCGTGGATCCCTTAGTCCTGTGGTGTGTGGCCCCCTGCCACACCTCTCTGGCACGCTTGGCATCAGTTCCCTGCGGCTCCCACACTGTTTTCCACACTCTTCGTCATCGCAGTTTGGCTTAGAGTGCCCCGTTCCACCAACCACACACCCCTGTGGCTGCCTCACTCCTCCAAACCCAGATGAACTGTCTCCTCTACGAAGTCTCCTGACACGCAGGCTTCTTTAGGTGCACATCCCTGCTCCCCAGCTCCCTGGTCTCACCCTGGGTGTTACTGTCCTTTTGCTTCTGTTTGAGGTTCCTGGGGGTGCAGGGGCTGCCTGTCATCTCTGGGACCATCCCCAGCTCAGGGCATGTAAGTGCTCAGTAAGCAAATGGTGACTGTGTGAGTGGGCATGGGCCCCTCTGGCTTGGGATCTGGGATCCAGGGTAGGAGTGGGCGTGAGGGCCGCTCGCACCCCGCGAGCCTGAGGTCATGAGTGCTGGGAATGCTGACGGCCATCCGTGAGGCTGTCTGGCTTGGCCTCCAGACCTTGGCAAGTGATGGATGAGCATCCGTGAGTAGGAATGGGAGGTGGTGAGCTAGTGGAGACCGTGGGCAAAGCAAGTAAACATGATGCTTTTATTGAGTTTACTCCCAAAGCAATAAATGAGCAGATGGGAATGAAAGAACGTAGTGGGTGGAAGTCAGGTGGTGTTGGCAGCCTGCATGGAGCAGGAGATCTGCCAAGTCCGAAGGGCATGGATTGTGGCCTGGCTGCCTTTCATGGTACCTCTAAACGGCTTCTGGGCCAACAGCACCCCCAGGTGTTCAGGCCTCTCCTCCCAGGTTCCCCAGTCATTTGCCCACTCACCCTCTCCACTTGGACGTCCGAAGGCATCTCCGTCTTAGTGTCTCCCCAACAGCTGCTGCTGCTCCCATCTTCCCAAACATGTTCTTGCTGTGGTTCATCCTCTCAGGGAATGCTGACTCTCTCCTTCCAGGTGCCCAGGCCAAACATCTTGGAGTCATCCTTGGTTCTTCTTTCCCACACCCCAGATCCACCTCATCAACACGTGTTGGCTCCAACTCCTCACTGCCTCCACCACTATAGAAGGCCTTCCCTAGCCACAGCCGGTTTAAAATGGCAGTCCCAGCCAGCAGCTCTCTCCTGTTTTGTTTTCCTCTGCGACACTACCATTGTCTAGCACACTTAGTGCCTTTTTCATCTTGATTAGTATTTATTCCTCCTCACTAAAACATATGCTCCATGAAGCCAAGGACAGTGTCTCAAATGGTGCCAGCATCCCTCGAGGATGGATGGATGGATGTCACAGTAATTTTGCTGCTAAGTCAGCCAGGTCACTCAAGTGTCAGCGTTCCGGGCCTTGAAGTCCTTTCTATGCCAACGCTAGGCCCATCTTCCCTGGTCCCTGTACTCAGGGCTTGGGGCTTTCCATTTATGTGCATTTTGAGGGTTTCCAGAAGTAGGCCTGGCCACGGCCGCCTCCGGAGGGTTGGGCCTGGGCATGGCATCTGGGGAGGAGAGCCAGGGGTGCTAAAGGCCGCGTCAGGCAGGCCCCAGGGTGTGGTGAGGTGGGCTGTCCCTCACATGGTTGGGTCTGTGGTGGAGCTGCCCTGGGGGTAACACGGTGGAGGGAGGGTAACACTTACGGACTCTATGGACAAGAGCCTTGGGTGAGTAGCTGAGGAGGGTTGCAGGAGTGAAGTTGGGCAGGACTAGAGGCTCTTTGGGTGTCTTCCCTCAGCACCTGGAGAGGGACGTTCCTTGTAACCAGTTGCTGCTTTATTTGCTTGGAGAACCCATCCACACTCACCCCCTGAATGCCTGCCAGACCTTTCCAATACACCATGGTGAGTGCCTTACAGATTCTAGGTAGCAGGGGATCCCCACCCTTAGGGAACCCTGTGACGGTTTAAGAACACAAGGCATGTTGGGAACAAACGTGGGGAGTCTATCCAGGGCTCGGAGAGAGCTGGCAGGCCAGGCGGTTGATGAAGAATGATGACACCCACCCTTTGTTGAGTGCTTGCTCTTTTCCAGGTACTATGCTAAGTATAAAGAACTCTGGTGGCACAGTGGGTAAGGCATTTAGCTGCTAACCAGAAGGTTGGTGGTTTAAACCCACCAGCTGCTCTGCAGGAGGAAGATGAGGCAGTCTACTGCCATAAAGATTTACAGCCTCAGAAACCCAGTGGCGGTTGCCATGAGTGGGAATTGACTCCATGGCGGTGACTTTGTTTTTTTTTTTTTGGTGCTAAGTATTGTGTATGTAGCCTTTTGTCCTTACAGCAACGTGGTGGTGTAGGTACTATTTTAACACCCATTTCACAGATGAGGAATCAGAGCTCAAGGTCACATTCCCAGTTCCAGTTGCTGCTCAGTTGGTTCCGACTTGGCCATCCTGCTGTGCTCCTAGGGTTTTCACTGGCTTTTTTTTTTTTTTTTTTTCCCTTAGATCATCAGACCTTGCTTCCAAGGTGCCTCTGGGTGGGCTTGATCTCCCAACTTCTAGTTTAGCAACTGAGCCTGTTCACCGTGTGCACCACTCAGGGACCCCTGTGGACACAAAGCTCGTAAGAAACAGAAGGAACTAGAGCCCAAGACTCAATTCTAAAAGCTGGGTTCACCAACCTTCCTGGGAGAAGGTGACCCAGGAGTCCTTGATAGAAAGGAAGGAAATGGCCAGACCAAGGAGGGCCAAGAGGAACTTTCTAAGCTGTGGGGCCCATCCTGTCTGAAGGAGGCCTGAGAGAGGGGCTGGCTTGAGGGCCAGGCAGGCTCTGCCTGCCAGCTACTTTGAGACAGAAAAGACTCAGGGTGCCATGAGCCCTCAAGGGGCCGCATCCCCTTGTTCTGTTTGAAAAGCTGAATCTTGGTCTATACACAGGTTCCTCATAAGCACAATCAAGTGTTCTGGAATTCCCATTCTTCACAATGTTATCCATAATTTGTTATGATCCACACAGTCGAATGCTTTTGCACAGTCAATAAAACACAGGTAAACATCTTTCTGGTATTCTTTGCTTTCAGCCAAGATCCATCTGACATCAGCAATGTTATCCCTCGTTCCATGCCCTCTTCTGAATCCAGCTTGCATTTCTGGAAGTTCCTCTGTCAATATAGTGCTGCAACTGTTTTGAATTATCTTCAGCAAAATTTTACTTGCATGTGATATCAACGATATTGTTTGATAATTTCCACATTCTTTCGGATCACCTTTCTTTGGAATGGGTACAAGTGCGAGTATCTTCCAGTCAGCTGGCCAGGTGGCTGTCTTCCACATTTCTTGGCATAAATGAGTGATGCCTCCAGTGCTGTATCTATTTTTTGAAATATCTCAGTGGATATTTACCTAATTCCTGGAACCTTGTTTTTTGCCAGTTACTTCATTGCAGCTTGGACTTATTCCTTTAATACCACCAGTTCTCAGTCACAGGCTACCTCCTGAAATGGTTGAACGTTGGCCAGTTCTTTTTGGTACGGTGACTCTGTGTATTCCATCCATCTTCTTTTGATGTTTCCTGCATGGTTCAATATGTTGCCCATAGACTCCTTCAGTATCACAACTTGAGGCTTGAATTTTTCCTTCAGTTCTTTCAGCTTGAGAAATGCTGAGCATGTTCTTCCCTTTTGGTTTCCTAACTCTAGGTCTTCACACATCTCATTATAATACACTCCTTTGTCTTCTCAAACTACCCTTGGCATTGTTGAGGGTGTGAAAAACAAGGGACCCACTTTCAAACTGACACATTTATGAATTTCACTTTTTGAAAACAAAAAGTATGTGTTAACATTTGTAATAAAAATGAAAATTTGGTGAAGATTTCATTAAACTGAGAAAACATCAGGGAAGTCTGCTCCCAGACCTGCCTCAGGCCGGATGGCGACTGCAGGCAAGCCCTTTCCTGTGTTTGGGCCTCAGTCTCTTCCTGAGGTGGATGTGAACAGGTGGCTGTTGGAGTTAGCATCCCCACCAGTGTAGGCTGTGGCTCTCAGGGGTTTCCTCTCCCAACCCCTCAGTTCACCTACAGTCTTCTCCCAGCTGGTCATGCTCAACAGGTACGGGGTGAGGGGGCTGCTGAACCTGCTGGGCCCAGGGCTGAGAGTTCTGGGCTGGGACTGGGAGCTGGAACTCTATACCTGCAGCTGAAGGAGGGACTGTCCTATGGGGCTGAGGGAAGTGCCTTGCTTTTTATTCCTTGGGA